CCCCCCCGCCCGTGGGCGAGCTCCGGCTTCGCGGACACGTGGGCTGGTGGGGGACAGGCAACACCGTACCACGGCCACTGCGCCAGCAGCGTCTCTCTGACATGCCTTTCCCGGAGCTGTTGCGCCCACGAACTCTGCTCGGTCCCTGTACCTGAAACACACATGTGCTCACCGGCCGTCCAGCCCGGGACACCCCCTCGCTGCCAGCCCCGGCCAGAGCCAGCTGATCACGCCAAGCTCGGGTAGGGCTCACTTTTTGTTTGCAATACCTCACTGCACTCTCAATTTTTACAAGAGGCATCACAGTCATAGCGAAGTCTATTGTTCAAAAGTATGTGCATTCAGCAGGTTGTCTGTTCTTAAATAATGATGAAAATTTATTCTTACAGGAGCAGATACGGCACTTCATGGGGCTGCAGAGCGGGGCTTGTCTGCTTCCACTCCAACAGCCGCACCAGCACTTCTTCTCCATCCCCTGTTGTCTTAAATGTACTGTTATCCATCCAGACCTCCATGGAGGACAGTGTAACTGTTAGATTAAGAGACCTGAACATCTGAAAGTTTAACAAGAGAAGTGGCTGCTCCCATACGTTTCATTTCAAGCGCTGTTTAAATGTTTGTTCTTATTAGCAGCCACGCTGCTGCAGGAAAACAGACACGAGCACTTGGCAACTGATCAGCTGCTTTGTATATGTGTCATGAAAAAGGTGTAGGAAATACAAAACTGGAAGACACAGAAGTGTGTCCAAAAGAGAAAAAAAAAAAATCGGTTCAGTAGGAAGGATCTAATAAACCCAAAACCAACCTAAGCTTGAATAGAGATATTAAATAATTGAACATACAGAATACATAAACTTGTCCTTGTCTGCATTTTTTAGGTTTCCAGGAGGAAACAAAATACTCCCTGTGATTTCAAGTCAAATGCTCACCCAGCTGTGTACTACACAGGCAGGAAAACAATAAATCACTCCCCTAAGACAGACAGATGGAAATGGGCAGCGGTGGCTGCTGGCACCTGCCTAAGTGCACAACGGTCCCTCGGTGGAGCACGTACTATGGGACAGTGCGTTATCACAGAGATTTTAGGAATAGGCACTGCTGGGACTCTAGAGCAGCACTGATTTAAAGCATGTGTTTGTGTTGGACAGCGAGGGGCAAAATCCTCTCCACACCTCCTACCCCAGTCTGGACGAGTCCTAGACAAGCTTGGAGCTCTGACAGACTAAACCAAAAAGTCAGAAGCTAACAAGCTGAGACTCCATATTTCCAGAAAGCACATTCAATAATTATCTTCTCAAAAATCAGACAAATCCTACCAATACCTAGCCGTTAGTTGGCCGAAATAAGCCATCAAAATCTCCATCTCAGTACCTATAAACCACAAAAAACTTACACTGCTGAGCAAGCTGGAGACCTGAACTATCTTCTGTGTCACAACATATTCATCTGCACCCAGGTAGTCGTACTGAAAAATGACATGAGATTATATCTAGGTTATTTGCCATGCTGAAGCACATGAGGTTATCATGGTATTTCTCAGAGTGGCTTCTACCCACTGACCCATGGCCACAAGGCACGGAGCGTACAGAGCCAGGCAGGACCATGCAGACAACCACGGTGAAGCTTTATCACAGCTCGAGCAAGGGCAAAGAGAATAAACACAGAACACAAACTGACTGAAACAGACTTACCAAAGCCCTTTCCAAAACTATGTGGAGTGCCACCTCTCTCTGGTATTTGGACACTGACTGGAAAAAAAAAAATTCTTCACTGTTAATAATTCATTTCTTCATTTCAGTCATGAGGCATAAGAAATCTTGACTTGTCTGAGGGACTGAGACACTAAACCCTCCAAAAGGCATTGCCATCTGCTAATCCTGTTTTCAGCGCAGAAAGCAAAAGCTGTATATTAGGACACCTAGAACAACACTGAAGTCTTTTGCTAATAACATTGGCTCTCGGCTCAGATGAATATCGGGGCCCTGGGACACTCACATGGACCCCGTGGCCGAAGTAGCCAGCACATCGCTGCCAATCATCTGCAAGCTGGAGGAAGAAATACCCCCACTTTTACAAATCCATCAATAAATCTTGTACCCCTTGGTGATGTCTCTCGTAGGCACTAGTTGAGTAACGATCCCTGCAACACCCCAGCGCAAGCACTGGCACTCATAAACCCACCCCCCCATCTCTGTCCGTCCAGACAACACCGGACAAAGCTTCCTGCGCGATCAGACCCCTCCTCGAGCGATGGGGACATCAGCACCACCGCGAGAACAGGCACAACACTCACTTCATCATCTCCATGTGCTTTGTACGACATCACCTCTGCCGTCAGCCCGCCTGGCCCTCTCTCGGGGTGGCTGTTGGCAAAGAGGGAACCTGCCGTCTTCTCGTCACTCACTCGATACACAAAGTGCTCGAACGCAGGAGAGTAACCCAGGGGCTCAATCCCGTAGCTGACGTTCTCAAACTGCAGCAAGCCCCTGCCATGGTGACGGTGCGTCATTTCTCACTGGCCATTTGCCACCGGGCGCTGGCAGCCACATCGGGGAGGCTGCCCCAGCCACCATGGCGCGA